ACTAATGAAGTGCTAATACAGTGGACGAACCTACCAAAAGAAGATGCCACTTGGGAGAACTATGACGACTTGAAGATCAAATTCCCAGAATTCATGAATCATCAGCCTCGAGGACAAGGCTGATTTGAAGAGGGCGGGTCTGTTAGGACTCTAGCTTGGAGAGTCCTAATTGAGAGGGACATTTATGTAAAAATGTTAGGACTCTATCTAGGAGAGTCCTAATTGAGAGGGACATTCATGTAAAACTGTTAGGACTTTAGCTAGGAGAGTCCTAATTGAGAGGGACATTCTGTTAGGACTCTAGCTAGGAGAGTCCTAATTGAGAGGGACATTCTGTTAGGACTCTAATTGAGAGGGACATTCATGTAGGAGGTTTTTTCTTAGAGAAGAATTAGGAGTTATAAGGGAATAGGAGTCCTGAGTAGGAGTCCTATTAGGAGTTGGTTAGAAGTAAGAGTCTTAAGTAGGAGTCTTATTAGGAGTTAGGGTTTAGAAGCCCTATAAATAGCCATGTATTCCTCCTCTTTTCTCAAGCAATAGATGAATCTTTTCTGCAGCCTTTGAGCAGCAACTTGGAGGGAGGAACCCCTATAGAGTTCCAAGGAGGCCGATCCCCTAAAGAGATCAACCCCAAGTTTAGAATCTGCAAGGGTTCTACCAGTTAATCACACATCAACCCGAGTTTACGCCTAAATAAGCTAACATGAACTATCCTAAGTTTATTCAATTAAAATTTAAAATTTATTTCATCCTACTATATTTTTTTATATTGTTGAATTGGATTAGTCAAATCGATCTTAATTTCTTCAACTAAACCTTAAGAAAAACACAAATTAAGAGATGGTTTATGATAAAAAGAATAGGCAAGAAACCAAGGTGGAGTTTTTTGGTACTAATTGTATAAATGGTTCAATATTATGTTAAGAGTAAGGTACATATGGTCAACCATATTCTTTCTTTACACATACTCAAAGAAAATAAAATAAGTAACCTAAACTAACATGACAAAAATAGATTCCCAATAGTACTCATAAAAAATTGTAGTGCATGTAACATGTTGGCAACTACTTTGTTCTTGGAAAAAAAAAAGAAAAAAAAACAATTTTGGATAATGTCACATTCATGATTAAATTAGAGTTGAAAACTTCATCGAATAAATTTTTATACCTAAAATACTTAAATAGTGATGGTATACTCGACTCACTTGTTTGAAACCTTAATATAAATTTTCAATCTAAAACATACTTAAGTGATGATGGTATCCTCGACTCACTTATTTAAAGCTTCAGTATAGATTTTCAATCTAAAACATATGATGTTTATATACTAAATCAACTTAAGGATGTCCTGTATTAAAATTTTATATGATAGAGGTTAAAGGATTCGAAAACTTATTCGAAATTTTCTAAAGCACGAGCTTAGAATATCGTCCAATAAATTTTATTTAATCATGAATATTTCTTATGATTCGCTCTGTTGAACTATTCTTTGATGATCAATCATAACCAACCAACATGAGAAAGTGATTAAACCGAGTCGAATGTGACTATAAACAGGTAAAATAAAAAAATTAAAAGCCAAATTTTTGCTGACCGTAAAATTTTAATGGCTGCTACTCTATATATAGTAAACTTATCTGAGAATATTTTATTTGTGTGCATATGAATACGAATCATGTTATATGTTCGATGGATTTCTTTGACTAGTCTCTATCTTGAATTTGATATCAAGAAATGGGGTAAGATCTTTTAGTCTCCTAAGGATTAATGTAGTATTAAAAGTATGTTGAGTTTGACAAATAATAATAATAATAATAATACATTGGACGAATTTTTTAAAAAAATGGATTTTCTTAAGTGAAACGGTCTCATTTTTTAAATTTCATAAGAATGTTCTTTTTTTTACCTAATATCTAAAATATCCCAATTACTTACCCTTTTTTTTTCTTCTTTTTCCTACGGATTGTTTCGTAGGGTGAATCGATATAATTATAGTGTTTTTACACTATGTTATAGTGTTTTCGGTAATATTAGAAAAATATTTTTTTTACGACGAACGTAAAATTTAAGTCCATAACTTTGTGATAAACCATTGAGATCCTTAGCAACTCAGATGGCTGGCATCTTTATATATATAAAAAATTATATTGTAGTATGAACATATTATATTATATTATAATATTTTCTTAATATTACTTGAAACACTATTACCCACTGTAAGTGTAAAAGTAATGTAAACATTATGTTTCTATAAAATTTAACATAATACATTTACACTACATTATAATACATTTTTTATAGTGATAAAAATATTATAAAATCATATAGCATAGTACAAAATTATTATAATTGAATCGATTTGCATCGGTCTATAGGAAAAGAGTAATACGTGGTTGAGTGAAAGTAAAAAAATATTTTAGGTAATAGATAAAAATAATAATTTCTGAAGATAGGAGCATTTCTCCTATAAAAAAAACCTAAATAATTTTCTACTAATTCAACCAAATACTTATTTAATCGAACCATTTCGCCATATTTTTCATGCAAGTTTGGTCATTAAATGAGCACGACAAATTGTTGCGTCGATGGCACTATGGGTTTGATTCTATTTAATGCACACCCTCGGAGAGAAGCTGTTGACAAGACCAGTCAAGCGAACTCTCTCTCTCTCTCTCTCTCAGTGTGTGCTGCCATTGTACCCACCCAGCAACACTGCCTTCCTTCTTTTCTTGGTTTTCTCACAGCTTCAGATGATGGCCTTCTCATGTCAAGACTACCATCTCATTTTGGACTCTGCTTGCCTCTCAAACATGGAGATGCCCATCTGCCCACAGCATCTTGGAGAGATCGATTGCTACCCTTGGTTTGAAGCCAACCCCAAGATCTCTGCGACTGATGCCAGAACCCAAGTCACCGGCAGCAGTACCTCCGACGACTGCTCCAGAGCTCCATGCATCGGTCGTTCACCAGTGCTAGATGAACCCCAGGGTGATGAGATCCCAAGATCACCGCCAGGTTGTGCGGAGAGGAAAAGGAAGCCTAGCACGGCTGGAGCTCGCTTGATCACCGGCAAGTCTCAGGTACATGTGCATGCATGTGGCATTTGGTTTCCATGGACTGTTCATAGCTCCTTATTGCTTCCACATGACTTGTTGCATGAGATTGGCAAGAAAAAGCCTAAAGTAGATGGCAAGAAAGCGTCGGAGCCGCCTGTCGATGTCATTCATGTGCGAGCGAGGAGAGGCGAAGCGACTGATAGCCACAGCCTCGCAGAAAGGGTATCCACACGTAGCATTTTGCTGGCCACATAGATCGAATGAAGATCTAACCATATGCCGTATCATGTGTTTTCAGGTCAGAAGGAAGAAGATTAGTGAGAGGATGGACGTGTTGCAAGGTCTTGTTCCTGGCTGCCACCAGGTGACTTGTGTACCCACCAATCTTTTCATCGAATCCCCTCTCTCCACATCACTGCTAATAGCTGAAATGTGCCTTGGATAGATGAAGGGAAAAGCACTCATCCTGGATGAGATCATCAACTATGTGCGATCGTTACAAAACCAAGTTGAGGTGATCAAGATGATGATGCATACATATATATGGTTTCCTTAATTCTTTCTTCTTATCTGACAACAAATTGCCACTCTCCAGTTTCTCTCGACGAAGCTTGCTTTGCTGAGTCCCGTGTTACATGACCTTGGTTACTTGAGTGGGCAACCAGAGGTAGGCGAAGAACCATTTCTACCTCTAATCTTGGTTGTTTTCTTCAGAAGGTTATATATAATACATTATAACCTTATCCCTGACGACACTCGTATCGATCAATCTGGTTCAGGATGATAGCAGTTTTAGGAGACAAGATCTGGAACAAGAACAAAGGTGTCTCGATGAGATGGAGTTCGACGACATGTTGCTCTTTTCGGTAGAGAATATTGAAGATCCTCTGTAAAACCTCGAAGCCACCCACATCAAGCATCATCAACCACCAACATACAGATGATCAAGCTACTCCAGTGACCATTCTCAGAATACTATTCTCTCTCTCTCTCTCTCTTCCTGTGCGAGATAAAACTTACTTCATCTGCGAGGAATGCTTCACAAATTTATGTACTCGGTGGGATGATGCTACACAAATTCCCAAAACTTTACACTATAGAAAAAAACCTATTTATGTAGAGAGATATAATAATGAAATTATTGAAATCTTCAATATTTTTCTCTGCAGTCCACAAGACACTGACATAATGGTGAAGGCTACCTATATAATAATCCACTGGGATTTCCTTTGCAGAGAAATTCTATTTAATATCGTTACAGCTGAACCCTTTTACACCTACTTGTATCCTCATCAGTACACAAACTTAATGGTAGTTGAATCAGATATGTACTTTACATCAGTTAAACCAACTGCACTTTGCACTGTGATCTGTTGAGCACTTGCATTGTCTCTGACACTTTTGACTCCAATGAATGTGAGCTACCACTGGTGGCAATTTCAAAAGGAATAAGAGCTTGTAAGGTTTTCGAATAATAATAATTCACAAACAAAAGTTGGTATCCCCCTTGTAGTCTCTAAATCACTGCTCGACATGTACCACCAGTTGTAGCAAAAGATGGAACCAATAAATTACGAGAGTGAGGGAGAAAAGGATCAAGATATGATGGATTGCAAGTACAACAGTTCGATGCTTCCCTGTGAGACCAATACTTCCAAGAAATTCTCTCGATGGATTAAGATGATCACAAAACAAAGAGAACTCGGTGGAGCAACTGATTAAACACAGGGCTTGTAAGCCAAACTCTATGCACTTCTGCTGCACTGCAACATCATGATACAATCTGTGTAGGGCGAGTCCTGGAGCAGTGCCATCATCTCCCACAAACACCATATATTGTCTCGAACATGTTGCAGTATCAAGTAGGGAAGAAGCAATCAACCTCTTCATGTTATCTCCACCTGATTTATTTGTGTTCTCTCTTTAAGCAAACATATATACGATCACAAAGTAAATCATTCACTATCAAGCGTAATTACATACAATTTACTCAACTTTGACCACAAAAGATGAATCGATATATTAAGCTATCAAAATGGGATATTTTTTACAAAACACAAGAGCAATACTTGTATGGCCAAAAGATGGTGTTCCATCTTTCGTAATTTTTTTCACATTAACGAATGGTTGCCAAATTTATATGAATGGAAAAACAAGTTTAACATAATTACATCAACCACAGTTAAGGATGTTGCCAAGAACATCGGATAAAATTAGTACAAATTTAACAATGATGCAATCTTCGATGTTGCTATCCAAAATATTTCTCTTGTTATAATATAAGTCAAAGCACATACAACGATGCCGAACTTATCAGGTCCAGCTACATTAAGTCATTTGGCCCTAAAAGCCACATATGGTTAAGCTTTCTTTAGTCTATTAATTACGTATATACTTCAGTGACAATCTTTAATTATCCATGCTACTTGTGTAGTTAATTCTCCCATAAATTTTTTCTTCAAAGACCGCAGCCATGATTATGGAGATTAGCTCACCTATTGATTGGTTATGCTACCGAGGTCAATAAATAACATGTAGAACAAACAACCATTGTCTAGTGATTTGCACTATACTAAATTATTTGCTATCATGCTTGTGATCATAGGATTCACACTTTGACCTATAGAAAATCAATTTAAAAGCATGCTGAGAAGTACTCGCAGCTAATTAATAAGTTTAAAATTTCGATTTAAATTAGTGTCCAATCCTATGTAATGTTAACTCTGATCAACTTAACTCGAACTCATCATCATAGAATGAAAGAGAAAAATAGGTCTAATTCACCACATTTATTATCACAAAAGTTAGGATCCCACGTTTAAAGCATTCCTACCCAAATCCAGTACAAGAAGCAACAAAGAGTGCATTGAAGGTTTAGAGAGTCGTAGAGTTCAAGTACCTCTGAGTGTTTTTTGATCTGAGTACTTTATCAGCAACCTTACGGTCATTCTTCAATCCCTACAAGCAGTGAATAATAATTAAGAATCCAAAACAAAATCATCACGATCATCATCAACAACAATAATAATATCAAGCAACGTTTCCTCGGAATATCTAAAACACAAAAAGAAAAGACTTAAATAATACTTTTAAGTCTTAATTCATAAGGAGCGATTTTCTAGAAAATATTTATATTTTAAATATTTTTAAAAGATATATCTTTATTTATTTTATTTATTTATTAAATAATACTTTTAATTAAAAAATACTTAAAATACCCTTCATAAGTTTTCTTATCAAATTTTTTTACCCCTTTATTTTATCAGTTTTCAATGTTTTCATTTGACTCGTTTATATTGTTTTTCAGTAATGTTTACAGTATTTTATTGAGGCACTGAAACCATTATAAATGCTATTGAAAAATAATACAAATGACATTATATTATGCTTCTCTAGTTGTCATTACTCATACACTATTACAGTATCATATTTTGATGATGTTACAAATCTATTTAGATCAGTTTTAATATTATTAAGTAGGTTTTATAGTATTTTTATTATAATAACCAAAATACTATAACAGGTTAGAAATATTATATGATAAAAAAATAAAAAAGAAAAACACAAAATGAGAACTCGTGAGCCAAATGTGAAGACAACAATTAAAACACACAAAAAAAGGGTACGTTTTGGAACAACAGAACCCAATAAATAAATATCCCAAAATTAAAGCCAAGACTTGCAAGTATTGTCATTCTTACTGATTTGTTGCAGTCTGAAGCATGAACCTCCGTCACCGATGGTGAGTACATGAACTGCCGCGCAATGAACTCCGGAATCACAGGTGGTGGCGTCGTCGATCATCCAGCGTATAGGACAAGATTATTATTCCGAGGCCCCCATGGCATCATCGTCATCGTCGTTGCCATCATGGGAGCACGAAAGCCGCTGATAGCCGGCCATGCAACCGGGTTCGTAACCGACGATAAGGACGGGGGGGTTCCCCTGACGTTAATCGCTCCGGCGTAGTTGTAGGTTCCACGGTAGCAGACGCGAAGCCTAAATGGAGCCAGTCGCCGAAGCTGCTGGTGTCGTCTCCGACTGCTAGGGTGGTGCCTCCTCCATGATGTTCGTTTTTTGGAGCCGAAGAGGGATCGTCTGCCGTCGAGTATTTCGGGTTCATTGAAGACGAGCCGTAGATACAATGGAATTGAGAGTCGACACCAGATACGTAAGCCCCGGGCGGAGGAGATTCCAAACCGTGACCATCGCGCCATAGCATGGTCGCAACCCTTCATCTCCACCGTCCGGCTTCAACGGGCGAGCTCAAAGCGAAGCGGCAGGTGAAGAACCGGCTCACGGGAGAAGAAGTCGGAAGAGGTGCAGGATCATTCACTTCCCCCATATAATCCCTCCTCTTTGCAGTTTCATGGAGACAGAAGAGGAGAGATTGGAAGTAGTTTCGGAAGAAAAGAAAAAGAGATTAAACACGCCTATATCTAATCGAATTCCACCAATTCATGTATGCCTTTGTTAGGGCATATAAGCGGACCATCGGATCAAAGTGTCGAATAGTTGGGGTTTAGTGGGGGCCGCCGGGGAGGTGGCTGGTCTCCGGTAGCACGAATCATGAGGCGCGAAGGCGGTTCACCATCATTTCCGACCGAAGCGGGCCGAGATGGTGTGCCGTACGAATTCTTTGTGCGCCGAGAAGGACTGGCCGGCGTATGATGATATGACGACGACGATGGTGACGCCCATCATAGCTTTTCAGATGGGAATGTGAATCCCTAACCGCGAATTCTTACAAGGAAAAAATAATGTATGAAGAACAAGAAAAGTGACTGATTGCACAAACGTAGGCTCGCCATCAACATGCACATCAGATTGATCGATTATATGAAGCCCTCACAAGTTTGCACACGAAAAATGAGATGATGACAGATGAAACAAGCAGGTACGTCCCATCCACAATTATGGGCACTTGGAGCTGGCAATGTACGATATAATGTCAATGGCCTCTCTTCCTGCTTTGCTTCTTCGTGTCTATCCGCTTTCAGTATATTAAGTTGGAATAGTTTGTAGCATTTGCGTACAGAATGAACTTGCAAGAATACAGAGAGAGAGAGAGAGAGAGAGAGAGAGAGAGATACCTCAGCCCTCAAGTAACCTAGCATATCATCCTTGGTCTAAAGAAGGCGGAGATGTGCTGTATCATTGAGCCTCTTTATCTGCCATCCTGTTATTAGTGAATGATGCAGGACCGTCACAGAAGAGTCATCAATAGATATTCTATGAGACATTACAGGACTGCAATCGAGCAGACCCGTGAGAAAACATTTAATTGGTGTTGCATGGGTGAAGATTCCCATGGAGAAGGTAGGGTTTCTGCCACCATCAGGAAGGAGGTTTCCTTGTGTGACTTCTCTGGGAGAGAACTCATCTTTTTGGTCATCGTCTCCCGTAGTCACAAACTGAAGCCTGCTCTTACCAGATTTCTTCCTCTGAAGAGACGGTCGATTAAGCCTGTACATCAGATCCCAGTGAGGCCCATCACCATTACATGAGAGTTCCTTCGCCTCTGTTTGATGGATCGGCGTATCTGCCGCTGCCAGCTTTTCAGGCAATCTTAGGACTGTCATGTTGAGAAATTCGATCATCCGAAATGCAACCTGCCGGAGTGATTCACCTGAAGGTGCACAGAAATCAGGCTGTGTTTTGCTAATCAAGTTCACAATTTCTTGGGTGTAAACTTCTGACCGAAGGCAGCCCTCCCATTGGCCCTGGCTTATCTCAACCAAAGCATCGGAGGATTGGATCTGCTCCTCTGCAAATCCAAGCTCCTGCAGAGTTGGATGGCAAATTGCTCAGCACAGTTTAATCAACTCAAATGAAAAGAATAGAGAATTTTATGCATTCAAAAGCTCTGCAAACTGTAACATAGAAAGTTCAGCAACATTGTTGAAACTGAAGATACAAGTGTTTATGAACAAAGCAGAATGTGCTTGCTTCAGCAATATTAACCTTCAGAAGACCATAACTTAATGAGAAAAACAATTAAACGAAAAGGAAATGAACTACTTGAAGAGTGCACATTTGAGATCAGTAAGTGGATTGTCAATAGCATGAAATGACATATACAAACAAGATCCCCACTAAAAAAGGACAGGCGCTTGGGAGGCAGGGACAAGCTCTGGTTGCCGAATCCAAAAACAGTAATGGAAATCACTACAGGGATAGTAATTATGTCTATGCAGTATAAACAAGAAGCATTGCATCTGAATAGTATCCAAATATCCAAATAACATGTAAAACAGAATTTGTTGATCATTTTAAATAATCTGATCTGATCAATGTGATCAAGATCAGGGCCCCATATAGTCTAGGAATCAACAGAAGGAAGTTCAGGATTATTGATGATATTAGGTTCAAATTGAAATGAACTTTTCAAATTTCAGTTTAGTCTTCAATATTTTATCAGTTTCAGTGTCTCTTCGATTCTTCAAGGATCACACACAACTGGAAGTGTTTGCTGAAAATAGAATTAAAAAGTTCCAATTAGAATATGATCTGCAAGTGTGGTTCGACCATAATGGAATGGTGTGATGACTTGATTAAGTAAATATTGTCCCTTGATAAAGAAAAAAATCTAAAGATTAATAATAGGACAATGACGATTTCCTTGATAGGGCACAAAACTTGACAAAGTCAGTGATTAAAAATACCAAAAGAGGATTTAATTGACGCATAATATGGAATACTAGAAATAATTGAATAATTTGGATATCACAGATGCAATTACAATATCACCACAAGCTGTACATAATAGACAAAAGAGCCGCCAGGGAGTAGTCCTTTCAAGGTAGAGTCATTTCAAAACCCATTTAAAGCAACTGCAACGGTTGCTGATTAAAGAGAAAACCATATTGATTTTTTCTCCTTTTAAACAGGACCATAATGTAGGACAAGTGCAATGAGGATATCCTCTAATATCAAATATGATGAAGGATGGATGCTCTAATACCAAATATAGGGCAAGTGAATGGAGAGCAGAAATTTTCTTATTTTAGATTTGAGAATTGAGGGAGAGAAACGTCGAAAAATAAAAGAGAGGAAGGAAAACATAGTAATGGTGAAAAATAATGATCAGAAATAAAATAGAGTAGATAACCCTGCACTTGCTCCAGTTGCTAGACATCCTGTCTAGGGATCCTGACCTCTCATTGGAGATGCCTCACAGCAAGATGACGGCATTGCACTATCCAAGAATCAGTTGGAGCTTCACTTTGGCCCAACAATTCATTCCTAGGGATGTGTCCTCAAGGTACTATTCTCTAATGTGTGGAAAAACTCATTGTGTGGAAAAACAACTATTAAATAACTATTCTCTAATGTTCCAGTTTACAAACGCTATCTTTTTATGGACCTTCCAAGTATAAGAAGAAAAATAAAAAACAAGGCATATTAATAATTATAAGCTTTCCTTTCCGGAGAAGATATAGTGAGATTTGTTCTGGCAAATAACCTTCCTTGTTAAGAAAAATATTTAATCAATAAGCTTCCTTCTTTGTTAATTCTTCAATCATAATTAAACTTGTAAAGTTGGAATGTTCAATAAAGCCCTGGGACCATTAATCAAGCCCAAGTCCTTCCTTTTTCCTTCGAATCTCTAACCAAGCACAAGAAAATATTCCTTCTCTTGTTCAGCTTGTTATGTTAATCACCCAGGCAATCCAAGTAATATAGAAACATAAAAGATGTTGCCATGTGGTAACTGATGAAATTTGCAGAAAAACCTCTAAGGTTTCAAGATTATCACAAAAATAAAATTAAAGAAAATAGCTCATGCATTAGATTGTTAATTTATTAATCTAAAACAAAAAGACTGTAGTATGCCCCCTTTCTCTCTTTCTAAAGAAAAGAGATATATTGTGTAGCCTTAAATAGAATTATTAAGTCCACAAAAGGGCAGCTATAAACGTTCATTTTCTCTAACAAATTTGAAATGTATCTCTCGAAAGTAATCCATTCTGTGTTTACTCTTCTAAAAAGTAAAAATCAGTCATTACCTTGAAAAAGTTTGCCACTAAAGTATGATAAATTTACCCACTATCATGTCCACTAAAAATCCTCAATGGCCTAAACCGTTCTCAATGATCATAACATGTTGTGGTTCATTTACAGGTTAGCCTTAATGTGGCACCAATGTGGCATTCATGTTGACATACCAACGTCATAGAAATGACATCTCCTAGTTCCTTTCCCCAACATGCCATAAGATCACTGTGTGGATCACATGTCATCACCACATGGATAACATCACACATGGATGATCATCAATAGATAAAACTTTGTTTTATAAAATATTTATAAAGAACCATAATTTATGGACCAAAAAAATGATAGATAGGGAAAAGAATATGCACCAGAAGTTAGTATAGACAAGATGAAATTGTTGAGCTGGATTGCAAGATTCTTAGAAAAAAATAGACTATAAAATATTTTCATTCTCATAAAATAATGTGGTCTTTAAAGAAGATAAGTGGCATATTTAAAATAAACCTATGGATACCTGGGAAAGAAATCTTCTTTCTGATAGAAAGTAACCTACACTACGAGTGGCATAGCAATCTGAGGATCTTATTGAATTGAATGGAATCGAATGATAGAGGTTATAAAGAAAAGAATGGTGATTACTGGAAATTCGATCCTTAACAATGCAGAATGAATTTTCAGACAGCTAGGAAGTAGAAACAGAATCTGCAGATCTATAGGTCGAATAGCAAAAGCTAAGCAATCGAAGGCGGTAGGAAATTACCCGGCAAATAAAGGCCGCAGTGGTCCTTGCCCGATCCAACGGCGAGCTATAGACTTCATCGAACCTCACGCCCTGTGACTTGAGGAAGACGGCCAGCGCCCTGGCCTGCCGCTCCCCATTTGCGGTCAGCCCCGCCGCAGTAGACCACCGCCCACCGACCAAATCCGGACGAAGGCTGCAGGCGCACTCGCCGTGGGCGATCAGGAACACCTCCGTGGCCCGATCCGTTGCCGCTGAGGGGGCGCCACGGGCGAAGAGAGCCAGGGGCGACGGTGGTAGTTGGAGAAGGACGTTGCAGGGGTCCCATACCTTGACGGAAGGGCCAAGCATGCGGGGGGTGCCGGCAGCAGAGGGCTGGGGGGAGAGCGGGGAGGCGGCGGTGCGGCAGGGAAGGACCTCGGGCTCCTGCTCAAGGACCTTTTCCTTAGAGGACTTTGGGTTCCTGGAGCGCACACCTTCCTCCTCTTCTTCCTCCTCGCGGTCGTCGTCGTCGTCGTCGAATGCCTCGAGAGGGGATTGGGAGGAGTGGGCAGAACCCATGGGGGACGGTGGTAGAAGCGGCGGCGTCGGCAGAGCGTACCGGTGGTTCTACGACATTGAAAGAGATCGGCGGCAACGGAGATCTACTCTTCCGCGAGTGAGGGCAGTGCTTTTGGGGTGTATTCCACTGCTCCGTTCGTTTCCCTTCACTTTCACAAGCTGACTTTTGCGTCGATCATTTATGGGGCTTCCATATATCTATCCTCCCACACGTCGAAATAAGCATATTTGACCTTATCAATTTTAATGTATCATATATTTCCTTCCAAATATTTACATCATTCACTTCCTCAATAATTTTGGTAGCTATATATATATATATATATATATATATATATATATTCAAAAAAAGAGAATTATTATTATCACCCTTCAACCCAATTAACTTGTAACCTATAGTGGCATTAATGTATTAGAGCTTCAATATCATTAGAATAAATATCAATCAGTGGATATTAATTGCAATAATACAATTACAATTTCTAAAATTTTCTGTATGCTAAATCTAAATTTAAAGGATAAGTACCAAAATTACTAACTTTGAAGCTATATTTATATATAATTTTGCCTATCAATTATTTATGTGCACCGTCTCTCTCAAATTAATCCTCTTTTTTTTATGTTTGAACAAAATATAAAATCATGTTTTATTTTCTTTCTCATAATTTAAGATCCTCCATAGATTGGGAGAGGCTCCAACATTGGGAGGTTGCAAAGCATGGCTGCTTATATACTGTCTTTAAAATATTATCTGATATGAATCTGATTCGAGCTTCTGATATGATTGCCGCACAGTTTTGATTTGCCAACTTGCATAAACATCTTACTGGATGTTTGTTAGCATGAAACTAAATCCGAAGATGATGAGATCTTAAATCTACTTTGTGATTTACTTTAAATATAAAATGCACAAATATGATAATTACTTTATACTTCATGGATGATATATGATAGAAACCGATAATGATTCACCTATATATCCGTAAACATAATCCAAATCAGATTCATCGAAGCACAAAAGGCAAGGTATTCCGGTAAAAAGTGAATATGTAATAATCTGAATTAATTTTTAATTTAATTGTTTTTCTATAGAAGTTTTAGGAATTGTGATCGAATGGACAATATTTATGTAAGTATCAGTGTAAGTCTTTCTGTATGATCTCACGTTATATAAACTTAATTGATTTTGTCTTATATCCATGTATTAATTCGGAAACAACCCGTCTTCCTGAAATCTCTTTCGGTTTCTTAAAAACATACAAAAAAAAAAATGAGCTCGAGAAAATATTTAACTTGGGATCCACGCGTAGTTATTTTAGTAAACACTTGATATACAATGTAAATTGTAAATATGAACTTTATAAGCTTTGAACGATCGTGTGACAAATGGTCCAAGATGATCTACAACGATCAAAAGTCTTCACAAATGCTCATATAATACTACAGCGAAACAAGACAACGAACTAACCCTAGATATTGTCCCAAAGGCCCATTTAGCCATGTGTCACCTAGATAGCTATTGAGTGTTATACCGACTGACATTCTACACTATGCTACGAAGTAAAAAAAAATCCTAAAATGGCTACTTTGATGGTTTGTTTCTGGGTAGTTTTACCTTTGCGCGATGATTGCATACAACATGTATTTACAAGCCTGAAATGACCACAAAAGCCAATTAAAACGGGGTTGTCAAGCTGACTGTAAGCTCTCTACGTATTATGCATATTATGCAAAGCATTAACAAAATTAAAAAATATGGGTATATATGAGCATTATATCGAATACTATTTTTACAGCTTTGTCTATGACATTCTCCCCTACTTATTCCTTCAACATTCTTGTTAAAACCTTTGTAGATACTACATCTCATCGCCTTTGCTGAATCTTCAATCTTCTACTCCAATTGCAACACACCTATTGACTCCCAACTGCTCTTTGCTACTATTGTTGAGTAGTCAAACTTTGATCTGTCATGTTACTTCAACTCGTCGATGACTAGACTCTAGTGTAAAATCGGTCGAGTTGTATTATTCCTTGTTGGTTCATACGGATCCTTCAGAAGAAGGAAAGACCTTCCTTGTTATACACTAGTCTCTCAAATGTCTCACGTCATTTGAACTTAGTAGATACTCATTGGAGCTTTAATAAGCATCACCTTACAAACTTTAAAGTTTTTGGGGTCTTTCCTCCATAAAATTTATCCATCAATTCCTCTTCTATGTAATTGTCACCTCTAAGTAAGGTTTCAATCACTTTCGCTTTTGATTGGTATTCTGTTGGGAAATGAAGCATACAGTCTACTCTCGATAGCACCAATTACCGTTGATAAGGATTTGACAATTGTTGTCTTTCACTATGTTTTTTCAAATAGTCTTTGAACCTATGTAAAGTTCTTCTACTAGATAAATAAGAAAACTATGGTACTCAATTTTATTAATTCTCTTAAGAGTTGAAAAAATAAAGGTTACTTGACTTTATCCGCCTCATCGAATGTTACACTCCATACATCAAGCTGATTACTAGCTTTCGCATGTTCTTTAGTCATACTTCCGAAGCACCCGAAGTGTTTGGATTAACTATTGTGATTCGTTTTCTCATTGCTGTCGAATTTTTGGAATGTATAAAGTTTTACTTGAAAAGAGAAAAAGTTCACTTTGAGCAAGTCTCTAATAGTTTTGGTCGCTTATAAGATTGTATCATTTTTTCCTTCATTTTTATGATCTACTCCTCTGGGTAAAGAAGGTACAATATTCAAAATACCCAATAGGGCAGGATCCTTTAGGGTTATAAGGCTAACAAATATAACTCTATGTAAAAAAGAATATGAGACTAAAAGGGTTATAAGGTCATTTTAATCGCCACCTTTCTAACTTTTCTCCTTACTTCTTCCTCAGCCGACTACCTCCCTCTTTGGTGCAAGAGGGTAGCAAGAAGAATTGCCCTTGCTACGTGGTGGTCGTGCGTAAAAACGAAAAAAAAACACATCACGAGAGGAGGTACGTCATCGCTTTATCTGCCGTGTGAATTACCGCTATAGAAGAGAACACGAGATCTCCTTCATCCATGGACTGGGATCTACAGGTCAGAGATATATAAGTTCCCTTATGTGAAAGCGTCTAACGAATCTTACATAGTTTTTAGTTTTACGAGTTTTTCGCTTCCGATCGTCGTACACGAATCGATATAAATTTATTTTTAAAAAATATTTTTTGTTTTACTTTTTGATGAATATGTGATGCTCTCTCAGGCGTGAAGCTCTTATGCATAAAATTTATGATCTCCGTGGAGAATTTGGGAATTTACGGCAGTTCGTGTGAGATGTGCATGGATGTTGTGGAGTCTGTGAAGCATCGAAGCATTTACCTTTTGACTGCAAGCTTGACGTGAGAGTTTGGAGACTCGGTGAATGACAACTTAGCTGAACTTTCTAGCTGTTGACCAACGACATGGTTGCACGACGGAGAGGACGGTAATAGGTGGTCGGCTTTGATGCTCCATGCAACTATTGCCATTTGTCTTTTGGATAAGCTGCAAATCTATGAACAAGTCAGCTGTTCGTAGTGTTCCATGCATGGAACTATTGACCAAGCCAACGACAGTCTCAATCAAAATTAACTGTGCGTGATGGGTCTTTTCATCATCAGATGTATGTAATGTTTATTATGAACGTAGGTTCATCAAATACAAGATTTTTTTCTTTTAAGCTGACGTCATGTTACATAGGCTGCAGGCAGCTTGGCAGGTAGGATTTGAACGGGTAATATATGTTCCGATAGCGACACGACACGTAACAATTGAGTCAGCATTCGGGATGGCACGTGGATATAAATTTAAAATAATAATAACATATTATCATTTTTTTATGCTTACACTAAAGATATATTTTTAGCTCCCGACTCTAATGCATTTTGAATGTAATTAGAAATATTTAAGGATGTATGGATGAATTGATTTTTGAATATTTCCGTTTAATTAAGTAATATATACTACTTTATTTATTTTTTTAAATAAGTGTAGCAAGATCACTACATGGATTTATGTAGATTCACAAAAGGCATTAAGTTTATGACGTGTAACATATGATGAATTTATTATGCAGAATCTTAGCACAAATCACCTTTAATATCATCATTGACAATGGATTTAACAACCGGAAAATTAGTACCTTATTCTAACATAAGTTATGATAATTAGTACTTTTCAATCATATGTTTGACAACCCAAATTTCCATACCACAGGATTAAGCCCATCAGTTACTATCCACTAAGGAATGAGTAATTACAATTAAGAGGGACACCGCCATACACGCCGAAGATACAATTGATTCATCCATGATGACCATCAATGACCGCAAATGAGAAAAATACGTACAAACATTGTCAGAAACTCGAAGATTTCTCTCTCCTAAAAGCCACTGTCGAAGTCGAGTAATTCACCCATCTTCCCTCTACTAAACTAATAATAATGATGAAGAAGAAGAAGAAGAGGAGGTGGTCAACGATGCCATCAATCGTGATGAGAAGGTTGTCATTAAAAGTGGGTTGGAATCAGATTGGTATGAACAACACGTGACAAGGATGCGTGCGTAGCCTCACCTTACGAACTCAACTGCTCCCGTTTACGACTGGCGCTCAAATAAATTAAGTTTCCAGCGCGACACGAGACAGATGGGCTCCACACGCGCAAGGTTCTCTTGCCAACGAGGTTGACACGTTCATCGCCGCTCGACTCGTCATCCCACATAAGCATATCCTTCCACGCGTTGACTAGTAGCTCTTCTCCATGCCCTCGCCCCGACGTGGCACGTTTTTGTTGGTTGTTACTGATCTAAAGAAGTTGCTGGTTTCATGTAGTACAGTGGATCCTACGAGTTCTTAATTACAAAGCCCACGTATATAGACCGCCTTACCGTTCCACGGCTCGTTCTTCAGATCTCTCACCCCATCCCATCTCTTCTCCGGGTTGTGGCCTCTCTTCCCCTTCGGAGATCCCGCCCGTCCAATCTCGATCGGAGGGAAGGGACGGGCGATGGATCGGAGGAGGGCCGGTAGCCCGGTGTACGCGCGGCAGTTCAGCGTCGATTCGGCGCCATCGTCGCCGGCGCACCCCCTCTCCTTCGAGGCAGCGAACGGGAAGCGGACATCCAGGGCGGCAGCCGCCAACGCCCGCCTTGCCCAGGTGATGATGCGGAAGCGGCCCGATTACGACGCCTACGAGGAGGAGGAGGACGATTCGATCCCCTCCATCGTCGGCGGAGGCGGGAGGTACCGGAGCTCCAGCGGCGCCTCGGTGGCGGCGAGGAACCCGTCGCCTATGGTGACCTCCTACAACCCTAGCGTATGCGATCTTTTACTTTGATTTCATTTCCGTTAATGTTTATCCTTTGTGCTTCCGTTCTACTTGATGCGTGGTGTGGCCTAATTAAATATATGCTGTTATTCATGTATAAATCACTAGGATGGGTCCTTGGGGGAAAGATCGATTTACCATACTAATGAAATTATTAGAAGTTGTGGTCAAATACGAGAAATAAATTATTCCTGTTCGACTTAATAGTTAGATGAGCTAAGTTCAACTTTAGATACCTTAGGTGAACTGCAAAGATGTGATGACTTAGTAAATAGTGCACTAGATAAACTATCAGCGGCTTGGGGTTCTTTGACCTTCGATGCTCAAAATATTAGTGTACTTTGCGTTGACTTGAATACCAGTGTAAATGTTCCACGGCGTGCAGCATTACCGTTGCTTTTTATGTGTGCTTTTAGTGGGGGTCTAATTCTTTTATAATGCCATTTGTTACTCTTCATTATTTTTTCGATAGATTATTTTGTAACATTAATATGCATATTTGCTTGCTGAGTTGTAGCTTTGAACGACCAACATGTCTTTGAGCTCAGCTTAATTGAAAGTAAAGGAAGATACATATGAGATATGAGAGCTGTGAGTTATAAAGCTTAAGATTAAGTCTAGCAAATCCTGTTCTTGATAGCATTATGGTCTTTGCTGGAGAGCGTCTTTTTTAGTTCGAACTAATAGTATATCCTACAAAAGAGAAATGACAGAGAGAGAAAGAGAGACGAGATAAGCAGGGAAGAGAGAAATACAATACGAATTACAAAAAGAATTTATTGTTGAATTGTAATCGAAATATATCCATCCATCATCATCATATAAAGATGAGTATGACTGGAGACTCTTTGATCTGATTAGGATCTTAGCATAATATATTGTCATGAACAGTCTTCGTCAACTGCTGTTCTTTCGTTGGTTTGTCATCACAAGAGGTGGCCGACACGTGTGGAGACCCGTAGGAAATTTTTTTATAAATAAAAATTAATACTCTTAGTTTAATTAGGATATTCTAATCTATTTAACTGCAGGAAGATAAAATTTAACTGCATATAAATTATGACAGTGTTTGATTTTTTTTCCTCAATTATCTTTTTTCGTCAAGCGGTAATGTAGTGCTAGCCGTTCATCTCACCCGCCGCTGGAATTTCGACGTGTTATCCGCCTATCGTTCATCAGACCAGCCGTGTCCTCGACCCAATGAACCAGACCCACCCGTACAGTTGCGTTCACCACATTGGTTGCTGAGGCGTCACCCAGCCGTTCGTCAGTACTCTCCGGGTCCCACCTCGGGTTCATCCTCTCCGCCCCCAAAATCCATTGGTTCGTCAATGCTTCCTCCAACCGCAGTACCACAATTTGGACTCCACTACCTCCGCCCGCAGCGAACGGAACTCCCGAAATCTTGCTTTTGGTAACAGAGGACATACATCCGTCCTCGCCGCCATCGCCTCTCCCCGAGTAGCACCCGACCCAACTCGATATACCGTCCGTCAGATCTCCGTCGGGTGTTTGCCTCCTTAAATATTGTCTCAGGAATCGGCTTCTCGACATTGGTGCCGGGAATTCTCTCCTCGCGATCCGAGCCGCCGCCTTCAGTGTAGGACGGCGATGGATCGGATGCGCGCTGGAAGCCCCGCGTACTCGAGGCAAGGGAGCGGTGGATCGAGCGGATCGGGATCTTCGTCGCCGGGGATGTCGCCGGGGCACCACCGCTCGGCTTCCGCCTCCGGCATCTCTGGCATCAGGCGGACTCAGAACCTCGCCGCCAAGGCAGCCAACGCCCGCCTCGCTCAGGTCATGGCGTCGCAGGCCGCCGCTGAGGAGGAGGACGACGATCTCCTCCCCGCCAGAGCCGGGGCCGGCTTCGTTGGCGGGGTCCGATTCGGCCTGCCGAGGCCGGTGCCCAGCAGCAACGGCGGCGGTGGTGCTTCGTTGTTTGGGAGATCGGCTAGGTCACCCTCGCCTGCGGTAATTGCGAGACTTATACATCTCCGAGAGTGAGAGATCTGTTCAAAACCGTTCCAAAATTTCCACTCTTAAGCACCATGAGGAACAAATAATTGATGCATCTATTTTGCTCTATTCACCCAAATCGATGATCTCGATCATTTTCTTGAGCTTGGATGGTGTCAGTTTCAAACTCTGCGTAGTGTTGAATTTGGTTTAGAAATACTGGTGGGAGTATTCAGGAGCTTCGTCGCACCTTTTGTTTCAAGAATTTCTTGCGCGGACTTGTAGAGCAGGACGATCTGCATGGTTGTTGTTTTTTTTTTTTTACGTTCTCAAGTTCTAGTACTAATCTCCGTCAGCCCTCACCAGATGATTATTTTCTTTCATGTGAATACTTAACTGATTGTTATCATTTGCACTTTTTGTGGAGATCTCTACCATCTTTTTTTTAAGTTTTGACATACTTCTGCATGGCTTTTATGAAGGAACTTTACAGAGTTGATTGCAAATTTTACAACTTTAATGATGAATGGATTGTGGTCTAACAAAAACTTGTAATTAGCCCTCACCAGATGATTATTTTCTTTCATGTGAATACATAACTGATTGTTATCATTTGCACTTTTGGTTGAGATCTCTACCATTTTTTTTAAAATTTTGACATACCTCTGGATGGCTTTTATGAAGGAACTTTACAGAGTTGATTGCAAATTTTACAACTTTAATGATGAATGAATTGTGCTCTAACAAAAACTTATAATTAGCCCTCACCAGATGATTATTTTCTTTCATGTGAATACATAACTGATTGCTATCATTTGCACTTTTTGTGGAGATCTCTACCATCTTTTTTAAATTTTGACATACTTCTGCATGGCTTTTATGAAGGAACTTTACAGAGTTGATTGCAAATTTTACAACTTTAATGATGAATGAATTGTGGTCTAACAAAAACTTGTAATTAGCCCTCACCA